AGACCCTGGAAACAAGTGTAGCCACATTAGTCTCAGTAATGCCACACTTTGCTCTTTTTATTCCTCTAGACTTTGACTCCTTTTTGGTTTAGTGAGATTTAAAGCTCTCTGTACCAGTGATGGAGGGGGTGAGGCAGCTCGGATATTTGTCACCTCAACTGATGCCTAAACTTGTTATGAATCAGCATCCTTCAAGAAGACCAAGTGTACAGAACATCTTCTGTCCTGGATCCTAGATGGTCTTAGATCATTGCAGTGCTTCTTCAGGCAGCTGTACTTGGAGGATGGGTAGGAAGCTGGGTGTGAAGTCCCCACCAGTGGTGCTAAACATTACTCTCTCCGCTTGTGACTCAGAGCTTTTCGTTTCCCAAGTCACGTYTGAGTATAGGATGTAGGTGTCTCTGAACATCTCTTGAAACCCCATTAAGTTTCAATGAGCCCCAAGCAAGTGAAATGGGACTTGAGCCATGAAGTAGTTTTGAGAACTGCATCTGTGCTTTCCTCCAGCCCTTGGGCACAGCTCTGATGAGCAGAGTTATAATTAGAAATGGCATGGGAGCAACAGTTATATTGGGCAAGTAAGGGCTGCAAATCTGTGCTTCTGCAAACTTGGCAGATGGGAACCCTCCACCTTARTTTAATTCTTTGCACAAGCCCTTGATAGACTGGCTTTGTGCAGCAGTGGTGAATGAAAAATTGACATGGTTTAAATTTCTTCCTTTAAAATCAGTTTCCTCAACTGATTGTTCAAAATACAGGGCAAGAGAGGATTATTCTACTATCTCCTAAGGCAATGTAAAGAATTTGCACTAGTATGCTATTTAGGTATTCACAATGTCAGATTCTGTAAATGCTGCTTTGTGCCAGAACTGCTCTTCTTTAGGGGGAAAAAAAGGCAGTCACTTTTTTTTTCAGAAGTATAGCACTTTGAGTATAGTATAGCACCAAACTAAAACTTCCAATTAATTCTRATTTTGTACATTTACAGACATTGTACAAGTACATTGAGATAACAAATCCTTAATTTCTTCACAGTCTTTTTTGGTACTCTAATTGGAGCTTTTCCTGTCATATCTTTTGTACTATCTGTGTAATCTTTAATGAATTTATCTACATAGTGTCACTGTGAAGTGTCTCACAACACCATTCCAGYTGCAATCCTGAACAATTTTTTCTTCTCTTAATTTCTGCAGTATTTGTGGGCGTTCAGCTATGAATGTAGATTCTTATCTTCATCTCTCTCTCTTTTTTTTTTACTCCTGACTTTTGAGGTCTTGATTTGTAAACTGAATATTCCTTTATATGAATACTTAGGATATGATTTCCTCTTCTAGAGTTGCTAGCTGTCCTGCACTGTCATGCCCCTGTTGCCTCTCCTTAAGGGTCTTGGACAAAGACTGTATCTCAGCCACTGCCTCAATATTGCCTTGCACAGTCCCCACCTTCACTATATTCTTCAGTGTATTAATTATAGAAAGCTTAATTATAGAAAGCTCCCTTAGCCAGGAGAGCTAAACCACAGCCTGGAGCCAAAAGGGATATACCTTTTGTTGGAGGGGAAGAAAAACTGCATAATGTATAGTCCATAAAGTCCTGCAGTTTTTCAAGTTTCAACATTTCATATTTCAAGACCTTGGGCCAACATATGATTGCAGCAGAGAATCTCAACCAAAACACTTAAAGAATTTATTAGAACATGGGCAAAAATATTTAGTTTTTCTGAACCATTCCCTACCAGCAAGCCTATTTTATTGACATTTTTRGAAGCAATACTAAGGTATCACCCTGAGATACATGAAATTTCAGTGTGGAAGTTTGCAGGTCAGGTAAACTATAAGTAACTAGGAAGAGGGTCTACTGTGGAAGGTGCAAGGGAAATTTTAATGGGAGGCAACACTGTGCTGTCCTTAACATAGTCCTAGATTATGAAATGTTTGCAGTATTCAGGAAATATTTTAAGCAGATATGAACACTGTCGTTCTGCGTTCCTGGAGAATTAATGACACTTAATGACATTATTTATATACTACTCAAGGCAAGAAAGAACATATCTGCAKCTCTGTATGCCTGCAATGCCTGTCGATAGCAATGAGTCCTTCAGGAGTGCTAAGGCAATTATGAGGAATTACATAAATAAGATACATTCCTCAGGGTTCGTTCCATCTTTCTCTATGCAGGGAATAAGAAATGAAGTTAAAAGCAGATGTTTTAAGAAGTTAGACAAAACTGGAATGAGTTCAAATGTTAACACAGATTAATAAGGAGAATGCTGTGTTCATTTGAGTTAATTATTTTCTCAGAAGGCATCCATCCTATTTAGGCAATTACACAGCCTCAAGTCTTTGTTTCTTACTGAATTTTCATGGGGATTCATCTGCTAGTTTAAGGCTGTTCATATGTTTTTAATAACATGGATTTAATTTGAAAGGTGCATTTGAGCTATTTCCATGTGAATATGCCATATTAACAGAGAAATGCATTTATTCTAAATTTAAACAGTAACTATAGTAACCARCATTCCCTCTGTTTCAGTAGGGACTCTATAAGCCCACTCAGACAGAAGGATACATGTTGTGTTAATTATTGTTCTATGAAAAGATTGGAGATTTATTTTAAAAAATAATTGTTGGAAGCTGTGTAGTCTCACTGTCCAGACTTAGGAACTAAGATATACAGGAATATTTATGTCATTTGCAAGAAACAGTGGAAGAGGGAATAAAGATCATATTTTGACCAATTTTGAGGATATTGTAAACCTCACTGATTTCCCAGCTATTTATTGTCAAATAAAAAATGCAATATTGAGCTCCTATAAACTGTCTTACCAAGATTCAATGTAGATTTCCTAGAGCAATTCATAAGCTTAGACAAATAGAACTGCAATTCCAATTATAGATGAATGATCAATCTTTTTTTGCTTGGATCAGCAAATTCTGTAGATGGTTTTGCAAAGGTAGCAAGTGTCATTTTTACAGTAAGGGCTATTTTAGTCAGAGTGAATAAGAAAATGAATAGTTTCCACCTTTCTTTCAATTTCCCRGTTTTCATTGGGTTTGTTTCTGTTACAGGGAGAGGTTACCTTTATCTAGACTGTTCTTGAATTCCCAGCAATGCATACTGCATTAAAAGGTTAAACCTATAATACATATAGTTCTTGTAATATAAATGAACGTTACAAGTGTAGTTGCAGGTATATAGTTTTCCCATAGGTAAAATTTCTAAAACATACATTTCAGCATGCTAAGAGATTTTGATTTTTACTCACATGTTTTAAAAATAATGTTTGTCTCTTGAACAATGGAAATTGTGCATGCATTATTTAGGGAAAAAAAAAGAAGAAAAAAAAGAACGGAAGTTTGAATTATTCAGTCTGATAAACATTGAATTTTCCGTATTTTTCTCTTTTTCCTCTCTACTAAGGGCAATAATTTGTCTTTCATAGATCTTTATCATAGGCACTTTTTCCTACTTTTACAATATGAAGGTCACAAGTCACAAGTTCCTATTCAAGTTTATTTTGCTGACTAAGCATTTTAACCATTTAAAAAGTGTACCAGGACTTTTTTTATTATTATTTGAATTTGCCTGGCATTGACTTGTGGCCAATGATTTTGCTATATATTTGCTAAAGAGATTTTTTTATATCTCAGGCTTTTTCCTCACTCTGAAGGTAAGAATATATATAATATATACTATATGTATAATATAACAAGTCTTTTCTCAATCTGTATTTATTGAAACCATGGAAATCAGGATCCAATCACTTTAAGGCTCTTCAGTGCAGCATTTCAGCTTTCTTTAAGATATATGGATGCCAGAACTGAACAGACTGAGCCAAGCTCCAGATCATTTCAGCCTTGTTCAGGATATGATATGATAGTCTTGACAAATGCACACTAGATTTGTCTGTATTTTATTGGACCTGAGGATGTGTTCCCAGACCTCACCTAATGCATCCACCTGCTAATAGATGTTCAGTCAATGTGACCACGCTGGAACTAGCCCAGAAAACCTCCACCACCAACCCCAGAATAGATGTGCACTTTGTAGCTATTGAGTCCTTTCCCATTTGGCCACACACTTTGTAGTTCAGACCAAGCTATATTTGTCTACAGAGCTCGCCCACTCCTATTAGCAATGAGGTTTCCAGTGAAATGAGCAGAAAAGCAAATTCTTCTCATTCTGCTTGCATGTGCAGGTTTCTTTAAAAAAAGAACACGAATCCAAGCCATAATGTGTGAGAGTGGCTRAAAATAGCTCTTCTGCCCCTGAGTATTTGTACTTCTCCTTAGAAATACTCTTTTCAGATGCTTAGTCTTTTAATAAAACAAAACCTCAAGCAAATTTTTCTGCACTTGAAAATTGTGTTCTTACAGATAGCATACCACCATCTTTCAGAAGAGAAATTTAAAATTCAGTTCTATATAAGGTTTTTAAAACAATAGCATTATTCATAAGTAAATTCAGAAAAACCTCCCAGTCATAACATTTTTAATATTAATTAATTTGCATTCATTTTCCAAAGTGAGCTGAGAGCAAACCCTCAGACATTGTAAACTCAGTACTGCAAAAGATTTAAGCAGTGGTCATGTGAAGAGGACTCTGCAAAGCTCGGGCATTTGCATGTTTGTGCATATTAATGCTCCTTTACAAGTTTGAGGGAATTTGGAAAGAAGCAAAAATTTTTGGACAGCTTTAGTCAGAGAAAGTCAATTGTACCTTARTATGTTTTTACCACATGAGTATTTGTGTTTGGAGGGAATGTAGATCTGTTMCTGTCAGAAAGCCAAAACTCCTGGAATATAGTCCCATATCTTGCCAGCAAATTTGTGCTTGGCTGAGTGAATGACTTGAAATCTCTTTCCAATTTGTAAAATTTGTGGCAATGCTCACTTGATGCATAGTARGTGACCAAAGGTCTTGGGAGATTACATATCAAATATATCATGCAGCAGACTGCTGTAATCAATGTGTGATTATTTGCATTTTCTTTTCCACAGAGTTGAACGAAAAGAGCGTGCCCGTTTGAAGACAGTGAAATTCAATGCAAAACCTGGTGTAATTGATGCAAAAGGGGTACGTAAATAATGAAACCTTCTCAAGTTACCAGGATTTCTCTATTCCTGAAGTGTAGTAGGCATGTATGTTTTATATTAGAGAAAATTTTGCAAGATAAGGAGTGTTTAGATTGTTGCAAACAAGTCCAGGAGTTCAGTAAACTATAAAAGAGAGTACTGTAAAATATTATCTAATGAATAATTAAATACTATTTTTGTAGTAATYTCATTGATGGTGCATTCCAATTGCACGACACTATGAAAGTAAAGGCCATTCTGCAAGAGCTGAAATTTTCATTGTCATTGGGAGAGAAGAAACAACTTTMAAAATCAAGGCATATGGATATTTTTTAATAGGGCAAGAGGTGTATGTTCCTTAGCTTCAAAAATTGCTTAATCTCAAATGAAAGGCTGAAAGCTAGAGAGTTCTAGATGTAAAATTTAAGCATGAGATTTTCTGCTCTGAAAGTTGTGACAGACATTGAGCACAGGGATGTTTCACAACAAGACTAATGGGGCACACAGCACAAAACATGCAGCATCCTTCCACCAAGGTGAACTGCACTCTGCATGGTAACAGCTCTTACCAGTCTGCAATATGGCTTTATGGTCAACAGCTTCAGATAGTCTTAGGTCTAATACCCTTATCCTTACCCTAATACCTTAGGTCTAATACCCTTATCTATCTGCCTGGCAAAAGTTGCAGCATGAAATGCCCACAGTCCTGGAGGCCGAGGCTTATTTTTCTGCTGAAGCCTTGTTCACATTTACAGCAGGAGTGAATACTAGACATTAGGTGAGCAGGGACTTAGTTTTGAGAGCTGTGCAGCTGACTTGCAAGGGAGTTGCAAGAGCAGGCTTCAGCGAGCACCTCTGGAGAAGAGCTTCCTTAGCAGAAAGTCCCATTTGGTTTCAGAGAGCTCARAGCATGTCCAAAGTCAATTGAAGTGAGGATGCAGCCGTAGATGTAGCTCCTGAGGTCCTCTGTCTAATCTGAAAACCTTGTCGGTCCTTGTCTTGTTGCCTTTCTGCAGGGGGAATAATARTATCCCCTCATCTGCGTGTGCAGGGGGGTTGGACTAGAGGACCTCTGAGGTCCCTTCCAACCTTAAGCATTCTGTGATTCTATGATTCTGTGATTCATCCCAATTTATCCTGTCYTTTCTCCCCAGGCTGTAATGGATTAGTGGGTCTAGAAATTCCTCTTGCAGTGTGTATGTGAGATTCCTAGCGTGATGGTTCCCAAACCTCTTTGTGTCGGCACAACAATATTTCAAACTTGCAAATAGCTCCTTTTTACTGCACAGCAGTCCCTGAGCTCAGTACAAGTGCAGAGTAACTGCACTGACTGACAAATTTTTCTCTGAATTTACAGTAGGCTCGCTGGAATTAGCATGGACTCTGTGTAGATCATTTCCATATGCAAATAACTTGATAGAAAATATATAATGAACTGCAGTGTGAAAGGATGATTTTATCCCATTGTATCTCCGCAAGAGACAAAGCTGTATTTTTTTGTTTTGAAAAGACCACTCTGCAATTCTTTAATTTTATCATTTCTTTGGGGGTTAATAAGCTTTGTAATGTCCATCAAATCTCTTCTCAAATATCTATTTCCTGTGTATAATCAAAGTTGCAGAGAAATAATTCATTCATATAATTAATGGTCTTTATTCAAGTAAGTCTGTCAAAAATTTAATTACCCCTTGATTCCCCTATTTGTTCTTCCATTTTTGTCACCAGTGCAAAATTAATCTTCCAGAGCTTCATAAATTGTTTGTTTCAGCAGTTAGGAAATTTTATAATTACAGACTGTTGTACCCTTTCAGAAACATACTTTCTATTGTTAGTAAGTGCTGAAATATTCTTTTCTTTACTTAAAAAAAAATCCCAAGTTTTAAAGACAGTGTGAAAAGATAATGTAGGCTTGTGTTTGAAAGAGCATAAAAGGAAAGCGTTCACATAGAAGACAAGGTGTTAGTGGACATGTATATGCATTAGTGTTTTAGCAATCAGCATTTTTATTTATTCCTTCAGTGTATAAGCTTGTGCAATAACAAATGTCTTACTATTTATAACTGAAAAAAAAAATCTGTTCAGATAAACATATTCAGATCTGCAATAAGCCCTAGAAAAGCTCTTCTATTTGAAATCAAGCTGAAATTCAGATAGTAATGAGCTTATGTGTGTCCATTCTGCCTTAGTGCTCATACATTCATGACTGTGTGAGCAAGAGAGRGATTTGCTTCTATCTTAATTAATTGAAAAGATGAAAATGAGAGAGTAGCATTTCATGTGTTGCTCTTAGATTTGGCCAGGAGATGTGAATGGAAAATAAGATATAATACAAGCCAACAGAATATAGGAAATGCTTTCTTGCATCAGTAAAAGCTACATCCTGTAGTGCTTTTACATGAATTGTCTTGCTGACCAAAATCTTTTGTTCAATTATAGAAGCAGTAGAGATTCATATAGAACATAGAAACTTAAAACCAAGCCACAGCAAATGTTTCTCTTTTTTTTTTTTTGAGCTATGTTTTGAACATAGAATCTGTCTATTTTTTTACAGATTTTAAAATATCTATGATATTTTTCTCAGTTTAAGCTTCAATTATAATTCCATATTCAAAGATAAGATACAAAGACACTGTTGCAGATGGTGTAACATGTTTCTAGCCGATCAGCTTCCTGTGTCTCACTAAAAAGGTACTTAAGAGTACTCAGAAAAGAAAAATTAAGGTAAGAGTCAGTATTTCCTAAGCCTTTGTCATCTCAGTTTGTGAAATCTATTGCTTTATAGAGAGTTGGTGGAAAATAGAGCAGACCTAAGAYACAGATCAGATGTTTATGTTGGAGGAACTTACGAAAATTATGTGAGCACAAACTTAACTAAATAACGTTTTATACTTTCTTGAACTCAAGATCATCATCAGATTTGTTTTGCTCCAGAAGGAGAAGAATATGTTAGTAGCTGTAAGCAAGGCAATATTTGCCAAAGAGGTAWACTGCACCCTTGATAATTCCACCTAACATAGGCTTCAAGATGTGCAGGTATAGCCTTCTCTAATCCTAAAACTCACATCTCTTAAGGGCTTTTCAGATTTGTACTGATTCAAAAAGAATCCCAAGCAATGATAAAGATGCTGCTGGAGCAAAGAGATTAGCTGATAATCTGTTTTTTTCTTAATCATTGTAATTACAGCCAGCTTTCGAGTGACAAAAGCAGCATCTTCTGGTAAAATCATATATTCTTTCCTACCTCTCTAACTGAAAATATTTTTATAGTAGATATTGCGACCCTTGGGCAGATCTCTAGCACTGCCTGGCTTGGTTTCCATCACTGATGGAGRTTCCCAGAGAAGTGCTGCACTGTCTTGAAGCATCATGTTTGGTAAATATTTATTATGAAGAATAGTACCTCACTCCATGCTTGGTTAGATGTTCCCCCCTCCAAAGGGTGGGACATGTTTATAGGGGATGTCCAACTGCCACAGAGAAGCAAAAGAAACGAGATAGGCAACAAAGGCACGTTTTGAGGAAACAACACAGCTTTGTTTGCGGAACCCCAGTGTCAGGCAGGTGCTGCAGGAGGATGTTGGCCGTGGAAAGACTCCTCAGCAGGCTGTCAGATGGGGAGGAGGTAGTTGTAGTTGCATTCCTGCTCCAGCACACGTCTGCTGAGGAAGGAGACTATGCCATCTTTCCAAAACCTCCTCCATCAGCTCTGCTGCTTGCCCGTGCAAGCTCGTGGCTGGGACCGGCACCGTATTGCTCCATCAATAACCATTACTCGTTTCTATTGAGTTAGCTTGTGGTCCACAGTTCCCTTCATATTCCAGTCAGATTTGTGCTCAGTCTGTCCCTTCAGGCCTCTAAATGCATTTATTATGACAGTCAGAAACTTGATAACATTTAATAATATTTCCTATGAGCAGATCCTGTTTGCAGATCCCACAGCTCTGCCTGGAGTGTAAGGTCATCATCTCACYTTATTGTCATTTTAGCAGCATTGAGGCATGAATGGAAAATGCTCAACTTCACGGAGATAGCACATTTTGTATTGCAGTGCAAATAAAACCCTCTTYTTACTCAGTGCACCTTTTCTCCAAATGTAAAAATCCAGTCACCGTCAAGACTTGATACAYATGACGAGTTTTGACAGTTATTAGGTATTTGAAAAATAATGCCTATTTCCAAACACTTTATGCTTTAATACCTGTTCCCAAATAATTCATGGTCTGAGGAGGCTCAGTATCATCAGCCCTGGTCATCAACTCAGAGAAGACAGATTTGTAAGGAGTCTCAGTGGGTCTTCAGGAGTCACAATTGAGTTATCTGCACCTTCCTCCTGTTTTTCTTTTTTTTTYTTTTTTTTTTCTTTTTTTTTCCTCCTTTTTTTTTTATAATTCCCTCCAGACAGTAGCAAAATGGATGTGAGAGGAGGAGTCCTGGGTGGGGAATAACTTTTCCATGTGTATTGGTGTGTGTGTTTGTGTGTGCGAGCATGTGTAAACAGAGAAAGAGAGGTGGAGACTCTGCCCCTTTTTTCCCCTCTAAATGTGGTGATCAGAAAATAGCAATAGATGTTGAATAAAAGATAATGGATGTGTCAGATAATAGTATGCGGGGGTTCACAAGTGGAACAATTTACTAAGAGGGGAGGCTGAACATAAATTAAGCAGTACACACCTACCTACCTGCAAGGATTATATGTAGGAGGGTTAGTGAAGGCAGGGTGGGCACTGACACATGACTAAACTTTCTTTATTCTTGGTAGCAGCCAGATTTATCCCTCCTTACCCACATATCCTGACTWCTTCTTATTTTGCAACATTTTTTTTTTTAATCTTTTTTTTTCTATTTGCTGGGAATGGCAGCCAGTAGGGTATTTTTCAGAGAAATACGACACTCTTAATGGAGTAAATGCTAAGCTCAGACTATAAATTGGTCTCCAACTGGTATTCCAACCCCTGCCTAGAAAAATGGTGAATTGTGGAGCTATAATCTTTGGGAGCTGCG